CAAAAAAAAAAAAAAAAAAAAAGACAAAAAAAAAAAAGAATTTTTATAGAGCTTGATCTCCAGCTCCGCCCCTCCCCACCTCATTCCCAGAGATTTGTGGATGGGGCTAAATATTTCAACACTCTAATCACTTGGTCTTCCTGGTGACCCACCCGATCTTGAGTCTATCTAGGCGCCCTACCCTAAGTCACCTCATTAGCATAAACTCAGGTGTGATCAAAATGGGCTCATTATGAATAACAAGAGATGCTCCTGTCACTCAGGAAATTCCAAGGGTTTTAAGAACTCTGTGAAAGGAACAGGGAACAAAGACCAAATATATTTCTTCTTACACCATAATTGGAAAGCCTCTGTCCGGTAATCAAAGATCCCAGAGTCAGTGGGGATTTAGTAGAAATGACATTGAACTTGGGATCAGGAGCCTTCGCTTCTAGGACTATCTTAGTCTGATGTGCTCCACAGTTATGGAGAACTAGAAACTCTGTCTCTCCGGGCCCTGTGATCCTTATCTGTAAAAGAAGGATGATAACTTGTTTGAGATGTTGAACATCTTTTTTGTAAACTATAAAGGCTGTCCTCCTATAGGCCTCGTTAATGTACACAACCCCATCATGCCCTGTGTGACATTATGATACGTACGGTAAAATGATTCTTCTTGCCATGAGCCATAGGCAGTAACACAAAGAAGTACTTTTCTCGATGATCCCTCTTTTTTGCAGAGTCAGAGCCAGGCACATACTTCATAAATGAGAAAATTAAGTTGTTTGACTAAATCTCCTTGGGCTGTGGTTAAGAACTGGCTGAAGTCATCAAATGAGGCCCCAGGAACCACAACGTATTGGACTACATTTTTATTTTTATTTCAATGTTTTCCTCTGTCTGGTGTGCTACTAGTCATCTGTAGGCTGGTTGACTGACTTTTGAATGGCAGGGTTTATTTCTTCCTTTTTTTTTTTTTCTTTTGGTTAGTGAGTAGGTAATTGGTTGTTTTTTTGTTAAATGTATGTGAGGGATATCTCTGTATAAAACTCTATGCTTTGTGATTACGTTAGCTGCATGAAAGGCAGATGTCTAATACAGATTCCCCCTGAACCTGTTAGGACTTAGATATTTGAGACTCCACATGGCACTTTCTTCCTCCCTCCCTCCCTTCCACAGGCACTTGCCTGATCTTTATATGTTACTTACGGAATGGTTAGGGGAATTGTCAATATCTTAGTAGCCTTCTTTTATATATACCTTATTATGCCATATGCTTATTAAGATGTCTAGTCAGAACTTAACACAGTATTCCAGGCATAGTTTATTAATTTAATAATAATTAATAATAATAATAATAATAATAATAAAAAATACTTAGAGCTTAAGAGTGGTAGGCATTTTTCTATAAGTTTTAGTAACTTTAAAAATCATATTGTAAAAATAAGCTAATTATATTTAAAATAACACACCCTCAATATAAAAAATGAGGAAAACTTGGCAAAATACAAACCAATCTAGTTCACTAAAGCCCTTGTTTGTCTTCTATTTCCTATTTTAATTTTATGTTAGCAAATGGTTTTCAGTGAACCGACAAGTCTCTTGTCTTTCTTATTGAAGGAATGTTTGGAGTAGAATATGCAGTTCACTTTTCCAGATATTTCAGAGGGAGCCTGCCTCAGTTTGACTATAAATCTTAATCAACTACAAAGACTAGACCAAACTTTCCCAAATTGTGCTCTATATTAAGAAGTTCTATGAAAGGGGAAGAGACCACTTTAAAAAAAAAATTATTATTGTTGTGAAAAACTTTAGGACAAAGGCAGTAGCTTACAACATCCATTTGTTATCTCATAGTTTCTGTGGGTCAGGGGTTTGGGGACAACTTAGCTGAGTCCAGTGCCTTAGGGTCTCTCACAAGGCCTCAGTCAAGTTGTTGACCAGGGCTGGGGTCTCTTCTGAGGCTTGGCTGGGAAGTATCTTCTTCCATGTTAGATGGTAGAATTGAGCTCCTGAAGGGTTGGTGGGCTTTGGTCCTTCAGTTCCTAGTCTGTTGTCAGCCAGAAGATGCCTCAGTTCTTTGCCATGTGAGCCTCTCCTGTACCACCACTTGCTTCACCAAAGCATGAAAACAGGGAAGACAGGAAACTGAGTCTGCTAGTAAGATAGAAGTCACAATCTTAGGTAACATTGTGTCACTGTTGACATCCCATCACCTTTGCCATATTCTACTGGTTAGAAGCAAGTTCCAGACCCATCCACACTTGTGGAAAGCAGATTACCCAAGGGTATGAATACCAGGAGGCAATGATCATTGGTGACCATCTTAGAGTCTCTCTGTCATAGGAAAGAAGAAGGGAAGGGACAGGATGGAGGAAGGGAAGGGGAGGGGAGGAAGGAAGGAAAGAAAGAAAGATGAGTATTGTGTTCAATTAAGGCTGAGAACTGCTACATACCATATCACTACATTGGAGATTCACAAGGCCTGTTCACATATTAAAAGTTCCAAGAAATCCTCTTAAATTTTGTTTAATGCAGGACTTCCCAAAAACTTTTCAGCATGATAAAGTTTGAAAAACATTGAAATGTAGAAAAACATATATATTTTTCTATTTATTCAAAAGATGTGATAAAGAAACTGTGGGCTTTTGGATATATTCTTGGAATTCAAGAAATTCTGTGTTTATAAATTTTGATGACAATTTTAAACATTAAGAGAGGCAATTAGTGGATCATCTGAATGACCACCTTATAGCCACATACTGCTTGAGATGTCACATCTCAGTGGGTGTGAGTGCAGTTGTGGTCACACTGGCACCAGTTGGTAATAATTCATTGGTTAAAGACTAACCATGAATGAAGTAGGGTGAACTTATAAATAATATGTTAGGACCAAATGTAGGCCAAACTTCATCATGGTAAACTAAGATTTTGTAATAGCTTCAGGAGAGAAAAGTTGTGGTAGAAGAAGTCATTACACACCAAAAGTACTATAAGGAATGCTGGCTCAAAACAACCTGGGCCAGATCAGTTAGTAGAATATTCATGTGGAATGTGGCTTTTCATTTTCAGCAAGATAACATTAACCATTTCATTAATATTGTTACTTTGAATTTAGTTGGTTTTATGGTCTTGCTTTTATTTAATCTATTTAATTTTTTTTGGTATTATAGTTGTATTGAACTATAAAAATAATGTCTACATAGATTGCAAATATGAAAAATAAAATTATGGTAAAAATAGGGCCGGCCCGGTGGCGCACTGCTATAGTGCGCCACTTGGGAAGCGCGGCAGTGCTCCCGCCGAGGGGTCGGATCCCACATACAGACCGGTTCCCGCTCACTGGCTGAGCGAGGTGCGCGTGCGCGACACTGAGGGCTGCAATCCGTTGCCGGACACGAAAAAAGACAAAAAGGAAAAAAATAATAATAATAAAATAAAAAAATAAAAATATTTTTGTTAAAAATATGCCAAATTGTAAAATGGTTGCCTCTGGGAGATAA